TAATATTTTTCGTCTTTCGTCGAGTTTCTGTCTATTTGCAATAATGTATCTTTCTAAAGCGGCTTCTGCTGGATAGAAAACAGTGTTGTTGTAATGAACATAGTCTAAAGTCCCTTCCCGATATGCAGCAGTCAACGGATAGACGTCCAACACAGGTATCCCAGCCTTGCACATCGCACTCATTGCGTACGAATGAAAAAGCTGATTTCGCTGAAAGAAAAAAAGGAACACAACCAAATTCAATAAATGAGAATGGCATTTTCGCTCAATTATTCGAACACTGATACATTATTTTTGGTTAAATTTGGGATACTCGATGAATTTAATATCGGCTATTTTCAATGTTTATATAAAATTCCATTTCTACATGGGCGTTTTTTGTACCAGGTCTTAATTGATCGCGGCAAAATTGGCAGTTTGGCTGTTTTAGGTACATGAATGGCTACGAAGTAATTCTTGGGCTATCTGTCGCCCTTCTTCCATTCTCTCTAGTKGTAGAAGGCGAAAGCTAAATTTTTCAAGTTTACGACAAAAACAATATACAAAACAAAAAAGAATTCCAGAAGGTTTATCTATTATACAAACACACACACTCGTTAGCCCTAGACCAAAAGTAGCCTGATTTCAGACGTGCCTAGGTCTAGTGCCAACTTTAATACCCCCCCTCCTCAACTGCAGGAGGATCTGTCGTACGGCATGTGAATGTCTGCCATACACTCGTAAAGACAATTGAATTGATTTCTGAAATGTTTGCATTGATAAAGGTAATAAAGGTGCCACAGGAAGCCCGTTAATGCGATCTACACTGACTACYAAACGCCGACATAGAATCTTGAAAATTAAGTCAGTATTTAGATTCATTAAAACTTTTACTTCACTAACATAATAAAAATAGCACAGCTTAATAGCTGCTTACCTGGGTCGTTAAGAATCTAAACATTGTAAAGTTGTGAGGCTTGTTAGGCCAAGGAGTTCTGTTAATCTTTTCTTTCTCGAATGCTGCTGTCGTTTTCCATATYGGAATCCCTTTAAAAATCTTTGTACCATTAATCCTTTTACTGACCAGTAAAATCACAGAGTCTATCAGGTCTTTGAACTCCTCRAGCCGTAAAGAGATGGGGAAATGTACACCGAAACTAAACATAAAAACACTGCTTGGCTGGTTCATGTCTTGTCTTTGAAGTATGTTTTGTATTTTATTCAGGATTATTGTCTTGTTGAATTTTGTTTGTATCTTTAATGGATTTCGTTTCTCTTTGACCTAAAATTATAATGTGCAACACTAATTAGCTTTTCCCTTTTCCCCATCCCCTTCAATGTCTTATTTACACAAATAATGGCAGAAAAGAGTGCAGCCAATCTCTTGACACTAAAACACTTTTATATTCATAATATCTGCTTTCCATGCTCCCTTTCCGTGTAAACTTTGATCGTGCAAGCTTCTTTTGTAGGCCAATTTCCCAATTCACATAAATTTTGTTAGTTATACAGACGCCATCTTATTCTTTGTCTACAGTGCTTACTTCGTAAATCCAGTTATAAGTTGACTCGCAGATGCTGAATATCTTCGTACAAAGTGGACGCGATTGCGCAGAATCGATAAAACGCATTCCTAAAGAGTCACCATAAACCCACAAAGTCCCGGAACGATGACTTTTCACATAATCGTTATCGACAAGTGAATCTGGAAAAATAACAACATATAATGAATATGATATAACAAATACAGCAATATCCAAAATTATGATTTTTTGCTCATATTTCAAGTATATACAAAATACATCAGAAATTATGGGATGTCTTTGCCAATATTTTTTTCAGAAAGTGCTAGTGCTAGACAACTTAAAAAAACTATTGTGTATGATATCTCATAATTTCTGATTTCTAGGTCAAAATGATTATAATTTCTGGATATTGCTGTATAATAATAAATATTCAAGCAATAAACAGCACTTTTCGTGCGTTCCTGGCGAAATAAACCACGCGGGATGTTTGGAGAACACGAAAAAGGCGTAAAAAATCTCGAGCCGGAGGAATATGTTGTTTGTTGCTTTTATATTATAGTATTTTCGCATCCGTGCGTTTACGGGTGAATCAAAACAATTAACACTTCTTTACTGGAACCGAGGGAAACAGTTTATTTTGTGGTCCCGAGACCGCTGATATTTCCCGAAGCGAAGCTCGAGGGACCGCAAAACATACGGTTTCCCGAGGTTTCCAGTAAACTAGACGCTCCTGGAGCGTGAAGTCGGACTAGCTATTTTTGAAAATCGATTAAGACAAGAGTGAAAGGTTTTAAACACGATAAGATTATGATGTTATATTCTGTCGAATCATAGATGATTATATTATGAATGTAAATTATGGTGTAGAATATATATTTTTTACTTCTAATACACAGTAAAAGCAAGAATGCGTTAGTTTCACTTTAATYAATGTACTGTTCAAAACCGTTTATTCACACGATACGATATTCTTTTTGACTGTTCTTTGGAACGACTTSAAAACGATAGAAATCTAAATTTGAYCTAAAAGGTCATCTAATTAATACCCTGCAAACAACTTACAACTGAACTGATAAAATCAAACGTGGTAGACTAAATGTCGCTAAGTGATAACACATCTAATACGTTTTTAATTCAAATTGTTGACCTCTTAGGCAAAAAAAAATTAATTTAAATCTTTTATGAAAAAAATATAGAAGATGCCTATAAAATAATTAAAGTCGCCTTTTTGTTATTGATAAGCAAAGTTTCTTCTTGTTGTAATTTGAAACCTTTTCCCAAACAAGACTGTCTAGCGCTAGAATTCAGTTTCGTAAGCATACTACTCGAAGCTCCATGCGATCCGCACATGCGCGTACTTCTGATGCCAAACGAATAGTTTTTTTATCACATAAAAGCGCAAGTAGAATCTAACATTTACTAACGTTATTCGTACATTTATACGTTTGAGCTTCCGGTCATGGAATTAATAACACAGCCAACCCAATAGTTAATTATTAATTAAATTCTTAACTTCGGTGGTCCAAACGCGACATGATAGATTGGCTAAAAGGTAAAACTTAAAGTGCTACTTGCATGAAAATGGCCTTATTTCAAAACTTCAAGCAATACAAATATATGAATCATTTATATCTATTAAAAACAATTGCGAGAAAATAATTGTCTTGGAATTATCCCACATCAGAGAAATTTTGATTCAAAAGATGGAAAAACAAAAGGATGAAGTAGATGACGTCATCTACTCCAACACTTTTTGCCCAAATTATTAAGGATTTGCATGAATATTTTCTTGAAATCTGTTGCTTCATGATTATTGTACCTAAATGGATAGTTCTATTTGATTTCCAAGACTTTTCTAATGTTTCGCAATTTTCGTCCAAGTAGCCCTTTAAGTCAACTTAGCCTTCGGCTAGTCCGACTACAAGTGCTCTATTATAATATCAAGTGTCAAAGAGAGCAAAACAAGTGAATAAATGAGGTGTTTTTATTAAAGATTTTTTTATAAAATGACTGATAAATGGCAAATGATACTTAATACAAATAGTCAAATGTCACTAAAATCAATCAATGTAATAACAAAATGAATACTATAAATGTAACTTAGCTATTTGTAGTCGAAATTAAATGTTTCATAGCAATCCGTAAATGTGACATTTTGACGACACTGAAGAGTGTTTTTYTGCGGCTTTCTACTTATTGACGGTCCACAACATATTATTGACCGCTGGTGGACAGTTGCCGGGAAACAGTRAAATTTGTTGGTGACTCTCACRTGGTACACTCTCGACCAATGAGATACTAGGAAAAGAGAACTTTGACACTTGATATATAATAATAACATTTGACCAATTAAGAGAGCGCGTACTATGATAGCTATAATATAAAAAAATAATAACAAATATATTGCATTTGAAAACCTGTCAACCGATGAATATGAGAATTTATACCTGATTGATTTTGGTATGAAAACCATCTCGTATTTTTCCAGTAGCCGTGTCCATCCCATATAAGGCGACATTTAGCTTTACCAAGGTTTGAAAAACTTATACCGTCGAGAGTGTTTCCTTTCATAAATGAAAAAGCTTTGGATTAATCAGAATTGAAATAATAATCGGTATATAGCCATTTCAAAACAGGTTTTCGGATAAAATGGTGGCGAAAGGTGATTGCACGACCGAAACTAGCCATAGATGTTACCAGAAACCTACAAGGGACTTGCAACATGTAACGCCTTGCCAACATGTAACGCTTTGCCAACATGTAACGCCTTGCCAACATGTAACGCCTTGCCAACATGTAACATCTAATTTGCATCTCATTTCCTTTTTTGAACTTATTTGGAACAATTAAATTGACCCTATAGCCAACCAGAATGGGSCTCAAATCTATTATCCAACKGCCGAATTTTCCAAATATGGTCATAACGTTCGTTTTCGAATTTTTGATGAGCTTTGAATATTCCGACGCTTGGTACTAAAAAATGTACGGTCGTGCATTCTCCCTTCTAATRTCGCCGTTTGCATTTCTCCCCGACAACGTTTTTTTGAAATAGCTGGTATTTGCAATTAAAGTTTTAYTTCGTGTAATGCTGAGAGTCACGAGCGCATGATGTGTTGTGGTGCCTGGGCGACTTCCCGACGAAATCCATGCTTATGTACAAAAGAATACACAGTTAGTTATTAATCAATAAGTAGGCTTCTCTGAGTACATAATTATAAGACCCTTCTACATCTACATTAGAGTCTTGTATCTGCATATCTCATGATATATCATCAGTCAAACGTTTCACCTKGTCGAAAATCCAGGACAAAAATCAAAGAAATCCTAAATCATGCCTGGTATATCTGCCCTTGCAAAACGAGATATGATTGATTGATGTTGAATGTTGTTGTTGCTTTTTTTTATGTCATGATAAATAGAAGATCTTGGTTCTCAAGCGTCTTCCACCGGCTCTAATCAATAACCATCGAAAAACATCCAAGATCATCATCAGACACAGTTGGCAAACTTTAGAATATTGAGACTCTCAACATTGTTTCACTAAGTTGGTCAGTATGACCAGAGAGTTTTAAGGAAATGCACAGGGTATTCTGGCGCTATTGTGGAAGTCTTCCTGGTATCGATGAATCAATTGTGGTGCGCGTTTAGAAAATATTATGCTGTCTTTACCTGTCTACCGTACTTACCTAAGTTAGGCTTGATCTCAAATTCATATTTGGTCTGCCCTCCTAGACAAGATTGAATATAGTCTCTTTCGATGTTGCCTAAAACTCCTTCTTGTGGATGATGGTAAGTACCRTGATCAGTTCCTTGTTAAGAAAAATACAATTTCAGGGCCGTAACCAGAACTTCTACCGGGAGGGTGCACATTCGATAAAACCGGACCAATATTGGCCTTTATTATTAGTAGAACATTCAGTATATAAAGTCGGAGTGTTTTTATTTTCAACTTCCATGAAATACACAACAGCGTATTACAACTTATAGCACTTATTAATTAGTGTTTGCGATTGTGTTATGTTGATTTCCTTATGGACTCAGTTCGAAATCCAGTTCGTTTTTAAAACATATCCGGCCGATTCGTGGATAAAATCGACAAAATAAATCTAAAATAAAGATTCATGTCATTTTTTTTAAATATGGAGATACATGAGCGGACCTTCAGCTTCTCTGGGAGGTTGCACGTGCACCCAGTGCACCCCCTGGTTACGGACCTGAATTTGCCTTTAAATTGTGAGTGGAAAGCTGCCTCAGAAACTGAATAGGAAAACAAAGTAAATTACTCGCCCTGCATTGCATCACGGGTATAGTGAATTGCGAAGGACGTATCTCGACACGCCATCAAGTCAAAGTGCTCTTCAGACACTTTACAAACAATTACACTTAAAGGCGCTTCCTTTACTTCGTTGACTGATCTCGACGCGCAGCAGATCGAACAGGGTCCGCAAAGGTGACTGGCCAGCGCTCTCACCGCTCGGCCAGCCTTGCTTACCATGTTGTAAAGAGCAAGTTCAAGGGCGACTATGAATTAGTTTTAGCTAACGGTTGAAAAATATCCAGTTTTCAAGGATTTTTATCTCAGCATAATGCACTGAAAAAACCGTGCACTTAAAAGGTTGTAAATATGATGTAAGTGTCCAAAATGGCATGTACATTTATTTATTATCATTTATTTAAATCATTTATCATTTTGGACACGTACATCATATTTACATCATCTTTACAATCTTTAAAGTGCGCGATTTTTTTCCAGTGATATACTCCCGAGATTTGTTCAAGAACAACATTTACTAAAGTGGCGGGCTCTATGYRCTGATAGTACACTCTTCATCAATGAGAGTGGAGGAAAGTTTGTCTTTGAATTATAATAGTCCACTTCGCGGATAATTCGAAATTTTACATTACGTCGTCATGGTAAATCATTGACATCACTGGAAAGAGCGTCATAAAATCAGCAAATTTGCCAAGTTTGAAAATAATCTGATTTAAATTCAAAGAGATACGGCACTTCAAAAACACTAAATTTTGCATAGAAATGTTTGGTGAGGTTGTAACAAGTCAAGGTCAACCTCGATCTCATGCCGACAGCCATACATTTCTTTGTAAATTTTGCCGACTTTTAAACGCTGTWTCTCCTTGAMTTTTCATCGAATCATGCTCAAACCTSGTAAACATACTAATTTCATACTGTTCTTTCCAGTGGTGGTAATAGTTTTTCGATATTTGCTCAATTTCTAATAGCTGTGTTATCCGCGAAGTGGACTATTGGCAATCGTGGATGGTAGATGGTAGGTATTGAAGTCTATTGATAAGGATAGCGGTCACCATTCAATAGAACTGAATTTGATTTTACAAAKGCACTAATGCAAAAAAGCTGTTTTCACTCAATCATGAGATATATAATTGGTTAGGAGTGCATTCCGATTTTGCTTAAAATTTACACTTCGTTTCGTATGGCCTATTTTACATATATTTTGCATTGCTGGAATTCTACCAAAATGGTATATAGCCTGTGTCAGATAATACTTGATCACCAAACAGCAACTATCAAGCATGCAATGCTATCAAACAGAATGGCTAAAAATGGGTAACATAAACTAACATTCAAAGTGTGTGAACGCCGGCTTCGTGTGATGAAGACTTTTTACATACCATTTATAAACCAGAAGTCAGGAGGTTCTCTGAGCCCATCACATAGCGAGTAATCTAGGAAGATATTGGCTTGGTAAATTCCTGGTTCCATGATAAGCATCATGACTTCGTAAACACCATTATTCTTGTCAAGWATGATTGGAGCAATGGATGTTGGTCCATTACGAACGTATACTCTCCAAGAATCACCACCTACAGATTTTGGGTTTCCTTTGGTATCAACAGACTGGATCCAAAGTCGACTAAATCTTCCTGACAGGAATTAAAAAAATAGGACAAAGTATAATTTATTGATCATAGTAAGTGCACTTACTCCTTTCTGGATAATTTGCTATCTGGATAGACTTYAAGGGTGCGAATACTGGTCAAAYGTGTATGAACTTTAGGGACCTGTCATTTTGTATCGCCTGTGCCGATTGCATTGGTGGCTATTTGGGAAGATTTCGCACGCATGGATTTTCAAACTTTTAAGATTGTGTACATTTCAAAGGCAGTCGTCAGTTTAATAGCAAAAAACAAATAAGTTTTATGATATTTTCACCGATTTTTWAAACCAAATCCCTTATTATTATCCCCGACCTCTGGTTTACGATAACTTGGTTATTCTGCTTCAACAACGCTTTGTTCGGATGTTATTTTACCTTTTTGATAGCATTTGTTTGAATGAACGGCTTGAAAGACAAATAACGCATAATGTTTAATTGATTAGACGATTCGATGATAAGTTTAAAGGAAGCAKTTGTGATACTGTGAAAGTGACTGTGAAAACAGAGAGATAGCTAACTGACGTGTCGGACCACCGTCTAAAATGTCTCATAACTTTTATCGCTTTATCACGATTTTTATGTTAAAACATGAAAGCAGCTTCGTAATCAACTCTAGTTACCGCTTATACCGAACTGGTCGTGGCAATCGACATAGCGAGAAGTCATTGAAARTACCAAGTTATAGTCATCAAGGASMATTTAAATTGTACTTGTAAAATTCCTATCTTAGTAAAATTCTGAAGTACAGCATGTCCATGTTTCGTGTTTAATTCAAAATCTCCTTTAATTAAGCTTTTTTTCGTGTTTCCATTTCTTGCTAAAACACGCAGGATTAGYCGGACACTGACACCAAAAAAGAYGTTTAATTCACTTGTTTTTCTCCGAGAATCACYTTTTTTTCGCAATTCAGCCATTCAATCCGCACCATGCGCTATATTTTATTTCACAATTCCTAGCTGTTGTATCACAATTGTACATTTTCTTGATTAAAATTCCGATTTATTGAGAGACGGGATAAATTAAAGTACCGCAAGCGTGAGTTTCTTCAGATGTTTTGTTTTTTTTCTTCTAAAGTTTGCTGTATTTCTTTCTTTATAAATATGTTTTGAACATTTATTTAACTGTAGTCAGAAAGCGAAAAACTTATTAACCATYAGTGTGGTTTTAAAAATATTGATAAAATTTGATTTCAATTTTCTTTTGTTCGTAGCACGCGTATATATGGCTTTTTGTGGTAAAAAACAAATTCATAACAGTTYCTCGTKGTGTGTATGCCCTTTATTGACCACGGTTGGCGCCATCATCACCAAAATTATTGTTATTCATCCACTCGAATTCGTCCTGTGGATGAATTTCTGACGTTTCGATAACGGAAACCATGAAAACATAAAAATCAGTATTCTAAAAAAACTGCATACATTATATTGAATATTTCTGAAATACGCTCCATAAAAACAAGTAGATACTGAGTTATAACTCAGAAATGACGAATTATGCCTAAAACAGTTTTCTCTAATTTCTCACAGTGCATGTTGTATGAACTACAAATAGGCGAGTAATATGCCATCCTACGTAATACGGCGCGAGGAAGAAAGACTGCCTTGTGTCGTTACGATAGCCGTGAAACAGTGGACATCTGTTTTGGCAAGGATTGCGGCCATCACGATGATTTGTGAATAAGGAAGGTCTCTTACTGACACTCAATATATGTGAGCCGTATATTGTTTGTAAATTTACTGCATTCTGTTTGGATGATGCAGTGTAGAGATTTTGTTTGTAGAATGAGTCAAATAGAAAGAAAATTATATTAAGATTATATTGTTCACATCACACGTTGCACAACCGCAAAACCGTTTATCTTTGGTGAGAATTTGGCTGATGAATTGTGCTAAAACAAACTGACTCTAATCCGAGATTGTCTTGACRAACAATCTTTAAACCCAGGTTYGATCGGGTYGTTCAAAGCTCGATTAGCTCTAATCCAAGATTAATTTCAGACGTTTTTAAGAATTAACCTTGGATTATTGCAAATCGAGCTTTGAACGACTCGCCCTGGTTCTTAATTGACTGATCTTATTTTTTCACCGGTGCATCATGAAATATTAAAACCATGCAGACAGCGATTGAAGCAAGATTTGCACAGCGACATTGAACAAAAACATATAGGTTATACACTGTTACAGAACGAGAAACGGACGACACTATATTACAACATAAGAAACTTGAGAAATCACAAAAAAATTATATCCTTATATYATTATTCTAGTGTAAACATAATGATATAATAAAATCCAACAAAATGGCAATAAAGATATCTGAAAAGGTTTGAGACTATTCTTGTGTTGTTTATGCTACCCATGTGAACCGAGCCTTACAGAGCAKTTGGCGAACGGTGAGATCACTTAAACTTTCACTCTTAATTCGTCCTCATCCTMTGTGATAAAAGCCATATCAATAAACGTTTTATTGGTTGCCAGAAAAAAAAMTATCCTGAATCTATCTTTTTTGACCTCTTAGGCCGATATATTCCCGTGCAGACCTTAGGTAAAAACAACGCAATCCCAAGCGCGTGTTTCTTCTGCGTGTGTGGGAACTCGGCGGACAATTACTCATAAATCACTAGGATAAAAATACTCTTTCTAACAAATGAAAAAAAGAAGCGCCCCGTTGGGTGTCTCTTTTCTGTTGTGTTGCAAAAAGGAAAATACGTATTGTTATTACTAACTTGCTTTAGAGTACTTGAAATGAATCATGCTTTGACGAAATAATCAGAACAATCAATTAGCTGCTAAGCAAGGCAACGAAAATCATATTTACCTGAATTATTTAAATCGATTTTCATTAAATAGCTCTGCTCAGCATCTGTTCGTAGYTCTGAAAACACATTTCTTTTGTACCAAGATAATTTTCCTTCACATGGCTTCAGCATTTTTCTCCAATTGATTCTCCAGTCATGAAGAGTACTCAAGTCTCTGTGAAAATTGTSTCTTTCTATAAGAGAGGTGTAGAAAAACCTCTCATTCTTCATTTGCTGTAAGAAGGTACAGACAATACTGCACGATATTAGGAAACCAATGGAAATTGCATTGATAAAAAAGAAAATAAATARAAATTTGTATCTACAGTTGATGCATCCAGTCATTCTGAACTCATAGGCCGTTATGMYTTTTGTTTTGATTGGAATRCAGAACAATGCCGTTTACATCACCAAGGTTAACAATTTTGAAATACATGCCACAAATAAACCAAATATTCCAAACTAATTAACATTTTAGCCATATTTGGAACATYGTGGAAACCATTATTAGCCGCTTATAATCGAAAGCATCTACGGAAGCACATTTTTCAGCGTAAGATTTAGATAACTGAAAAGATTTCGTTTTATTTCTTCTTTCAATTTGGAGGGCGTCATAGCAACAGATGGTTGAATGAAAGTATTTATTTCTAAAATGGTTCTTGGTTTTCTAATTGGCATATGTAACAAGCGCTGTGATTGCTMCAAATGCTTTTATGAGAATATCAAGCACGATCGCACTATCGTCGCCCCAGCTGTGGTTTTAATGTGAAAAAAGAAAGCTAAAAAAATAAACGAAATTGAATAATTATTATTTTTCTATAAA